GGGAGGGAGGGCGGGGAGGGGGGGGGGGAGGGTCGAAATTCCATCTTAAGGAGGAGAAGGACGATAGTGTAGCACGCGTAACACTAATACGACTATGTAGCACGCGAAAGTTGCCGCTCTCTGCCCGCCGGTTAAGCCCTCTCGAGAGCCGAGAACCGTCCCTCTTCCACCTCCTTCGAAGCCTTGTATAAACTCCACAACTTCGTAAGCGCGTAAGAGGGAATAGAGATGGGAGAATTGCTAACTACAGATCGGAGAACGTTGCACGCCCGCTGCACAATTTGCATCGCTTCCAGGCGATACGACGATCGTCCGGGGACGCGAGATACGGCGCGCGCGAAGCCTCGGCTTCTGTATTATAACATATTATAACTTCGCTTTTGTATTTTAGAGCTAGATCTTAACACTCTCCTCTAAACGTTGCGCACGATGCCTCTAGGATGCGCCAAATAAGAACGTGTTGATTTCTAGCAACAATGGGACGCTTCTCAATAGTCTTGCTTTCAGACGTATTGATTATAAATAACTTTTTTTGTAGCTATAATTAATTTTTCCATACCAAAATGCTGCCTTTATAAATGGAGAGTTTAAATTCTGTTTACAATTACTACTTAAGTCTCATCTTAAAAGCACAAAACATTTAGAACAAAATTCATATATTGAGACGCGAGAGTGGATTCACATTTCGGCATATAAGCATTATTCCCTGGTTTTTTAAACACAATATTATATATCTTTTTATAAACTTTGCATTCTACACTCTTGCTAATAAGAGAAAAAACTGTTTAAAAATTCTCAGATTTATGCATCGAAGAACAACTTGATGAATTTGTAGTACTTATCGCAAATATCAAATCAATTTCTAGGATTCTTCCATTAAATCGTATATCTTAAAACTAGTTTTTAAGTCGCTCGGCAGAAATGCAACTGTAAATATACCGGTCTTAAAGGCTCAGGATTGCATTGCATGCGTATATTCTCTCTCTCGTTTTCGTATCGCTCGCTAGGATAGCATGCGCTCCCTTCACGCGAGTTTACTTCTACTACGCCTCCTTTTGCGGCGTGCAAAACTCCTGTCGTATAAGTTCGAGAATTGCTGCGAGAAGAGCGAAGTTGCTTCCTCTTCCATCAAGCCTCCCGGAAGGATCGGGAATTCTAAGCTTAGTCGTAAGTACATATTCGATGCTGCCGCGAGGCATGTCTGGATAAGAGCTTTGGAAATTTAATAACTGCGTAAGTAGATCCAATACTCGATATCCTGCGGAAGGAACTTAAAAGGTCGCGCGTTTAAAGCGCGGAAGTAATACAGCTAATATTTAAGAACGCTTTGCATAATATGGATAATATTGTGATACTTGCCGCCTCATATTTGACATTAAAATCGCATTTACCGCATATACATTGATTAGCCAATCTGCCATTTTCAAGACGTTCGTCCGCGTCCAACTCGTTTTTCTCCTTTCGATCTGTAATTGAAGCTACACGTATCTACCACACACGTGCATCGTACGTGAGAGGCATATGGCAGTGCGAAAGAACAAGAAGCTACATATATACGTGTACGCGACTAGTCTTCATATCTGACCCTTCTTTGCTCAATAATAAGGGAACGTTATTCGGTCTTAACTACCTACCTACCTACCTCTTCTTGCTCTAGGAAGCAAAAGTAATTTGCCATCGCATTTGCTTCCTAGAGAAAGTCTTCTAACTTGAATCTACTGGCGCCATTAAAAATTCAGAGATGGGTTTTACCAACTTACGCTATTGAATTATAATTTTAGAACTCGGCGCGATCGATGTGTTATTTTTTCTAGAGATGTCTTTATACAGGTATTCTTATGGCGGAATTTTTTATAAAAGGAAAAAAAAATTGTAAGTGTTTTCATATAAAATACTTTAAAGAGAAGCTTTTCATATCCTTTATAAATCTTTGTAGCAAATATCGCGAGCTTAATATATATGTATATCGCTCAACAGCCTTTCATCAGATTTAGAGAAAAAGGGACGTATTTCCAGCCAATGAACAAACGTATTTTGTGAAAGGAAGAACGACAAAGGTGGAGAGGAGCGTGATAGAATAGCAGGTGGGTGTCTTCATAAAGGCAGATCACCCATAGCACGAACCGCGTAATTACATGAAAAAGAAAATACAAAGCGAGACGGTAATCAAAGAACGCTCTGTGGTCGTTTTCATTGGGCACGCTTTTTGCGTGATATTGTTGATGTACGCGTGCATTCCGTTGTCCAGTCGAGGAAAAACATCGAATTGTGAAAAAGCTTTTGACACGCGTAAATGGGTATATAGCTTTGCGGATGAGAGCACCGGATGATCGACGTTGCAATACGATCGCCATGGGGGAAACACGATCAATCCGTATATTAGTTGTTTAACAACTTGGACAGATTCTACGCGTGTTGTTTGTATCTGAGAAATTTTACGAAAATAAATTTCACTCCGTTATTAAAGTCTACGTTTCTTTTATTAGCAGCATAATACAAATGCTGAAGCGTAATTCTTAAAGCATAATAATATATCGCCATTGAACTGGATTTAAAGCGTTAAGGATTAATACTTAATCCTCAACACTGACAGACTTAGCGCATTAAGCTACAAATAGCAAGCTTTAGCCTCGGCGAGCTTAAAGTACTAAAGAAATACGAACGCGTAATCATTGACGACGAAACCAGCCCTTCGATTGGTTTCGATTATTATCTTTCTTTCGTTTATCGCGTTAAAATAATTCATTATGATTCGACGTAATCGCGGTTCGTTCGAGGCGCCGATGTGCAGCCTCCGCGCGAACGAGTTTAACTTAAAAGTAGGCTCTTCCATGCTCAAAGCAGCTCCGACAAAATTGGTTTAATTCGCACGCCGACGAGTGCGATTATATTCTCCTCCAGTCGGTATTTTGCGCTCGTCATCGTTCGAAGCATGCCGTTGATAGATCACGAGATAACTATCGATCCTCTGTCGTCAGCAACCTACCATGATCATCTTTCACGACATTTAAGTACTCGATCGCGGTAGATATCTCATCAATTTCTGCAAATAATCTTCGATCCCAACAAGAGCCTGAATTTCGTTTAAAGCGAGAGAAACTTTCGCGCTTTTCGTGTTAAGGCAATGCGTCCATTTGCCGAGATCGCTTTCCGATCGTAAATAAAATTCGTATACAATTTCCATTGAATAGAAACGAGAATTTACAGATTAAAATTGTAAAATACTCTTTTATATAGAATTAGAGATTTGTTTTGAAATAACATCGATCAATATTAAACTCATTGTATTTTTCACTTGTCCCGACAGAATGGACATTGATTAGATTCCGCATTTATAATTACATTCGGATCTCTTTTATATTCTCTTTTTACATTCGCAGCACGAATTCAAAGGCAACATACATAACGATAAATGACGTGTAAAAATATCTGCGGTTTCGCTTCTTTTTGATTTTCCGCATTTTCATCGAACAGCGTGACTCAATTACTTCGGGATTAATGCGGAATACGTGATGAAAATTCAAAAGACGCTTTACCGTGGCAAATCCGCGATCGCGACGTGTTCCTTTTGCATTCGCCATTAGCGTTGCTTCGATAGTTTAGCCGACGGAGACGCAATTGTCCTAAGAAGCGCGAGGAGCGTCATTCCTCCTTCTTCCACTTCGAGAGACATCGTAGTGCCGTTTCCCTCGGCAACGACTTAACCCGTTCAAGTACGGCCGGAGTAAAATTACGGCCCGCTTCCGGGCCGGTGGTCCGCATAGCGAGCGGAAATTCGGTGATTCCATCGTCTTCGAGAGCCGGTCGAAATGTGACGTTTGAGACTTGAGGAAGGTGTAGCGATAAAGAATTTATTATCAGTTGATTACATATCGCAGTTGAGTTATACAAAAATATATGAAGCGAATAATGAGTGAAATTAAACGTCGAATTAAAGATATAGTGGTATAAAAAAAAATTAATGATAAGTAAAAACGCACAATATTACGATCGAAAAGATTAATTGCGTGTCTATATATAGAACATTAAGTTGTATCGATAATATAAATCAAGTAGAATATAATTTTTGCAATTACATGAGATAACGGTTTATACTTTAAAAAGTAAAGAATGATATATTTATATATTGAAGAAAATCGAGAACAATTATTT